CATCCATCCATCCATTCATCCATCCATCCATCCATCCATCCATCCATCCATCCATCCATCCATCCATCCATCCATCCATCCATCGGAATAGAGTTGGAAGGGACCTTCAAGGTCTTCTAGTCCAACCCCCTGCTCAAGCAGGAGACTCTATACCATTTCATACCTTCCTGAGCTACAGATATTTTCTTCTATTGGACATCACAAGGGACCCACTGATACATCAATAAACCCATTAATTGCAAACCTGGGAACAAAGCCAGGGATTAAGAGCTTTCTGAATTTCCAGAAATATGAGTGCCCTCCATATCTCGGGGGTGGGAGGGGGAAATGCTGTTCCAGAGAGCAGGGATCTTAGCAGAGAGGGAATTTTCTTTGATTCCACAAGACGCCAGTATATAATTGAAAGGACCTGGAGTTCACTCTGACTGCTCAAATGTACTGGGCAAACAGAAACAATTGGAGAATAGTATCAGAAGAACAGGTAGTTACTACTTTAAAAATAGACTAATAAAGTTGAAGGTCTAATCTGGATCAGTCACCAAGACCAGATTTGATCTTACATTATCTGGGGACACGTATATTTGCCTTCATTTGTAATAAATGAATAGCTATCCAGTCTCTTCTTAAAAACCTCCAGTGATGAAGCACCCACAACTTCTGAAGGCAACTTCTGTTCCACTGGTGAACCGTCCTCACTGTTAGGAAGTTTCCCTTTCATTCCTACCAAGCCCTCCATGGTAGTGGATCTGAGTACTTGAGAGACTGCCTTCTGCCGATTACCTCCCTTCGTCCCATCAGATCGCACAGAGTGGGCCTCCTCCGAGTTCCATCCGCCAGTCAGTGCCGACTGGTGACTACGTGGAGGAGAGCCTTCTCAGTAGCAGCTTCAACCCTTTGGAACGATCTCCCCGTAGAGATTCGCACCCTCACCACAGTCCAGAGCTTCCGCATAGCCCTTAAGATCTCGCTATCCCGTCAGGCCCGGGGATAAGATTTTCATACATCCCACCCGAATGTTGAATGAATGTTGTGTTTTATTGCTATTTTTATTTGTACCCACATATTATTTTACGTTCTGTCTTGCACTCCCTTCCCATGAGTTGTAAGCCGCCCTGAGTCCCCTCAGGGAAAAGGGCGGCCTATAAGTGACAATAAATACAATACAATACATTCCAGATTGCTTCTCTCCCTGATCAGTTTCCATCCATTGCATCTTGCCTTCTGATGCTTTGGAAAATAAGTTGACCCCCTTCTTCTTTGTGGCACTGCAAATTTTGATTGCAGTGGGGTAGAAATAGGCAAAAATGAATTGCAGATGCAGAGGAAGTGCAGAGGAATGGGGTGAACTGGGAGAGAACTTCCCTGTCAGCATATTGGGAGAGTTCCCCCCTACTTCATCCCCTGGCCCTTCTCTGGTTCTGGGACCTCTCAGCTAGGCTAACGGAAGGGCGTGGGGCAATGAAGTGGGAAGGAAGAATCAATAATGAGCAAGCACTGTTTTCCACTGTTTGTCCAAGGGCATGTCAGGGCTGGTTGGGAGAGTTTTGTGGCCAATAGCTACTGGAATGGGTAAAACAGCATCTCCACAAATAATAAAAACAGAAAACAAAGACACCCCTCCACACACACACACCTTTTCCAACAGAAACATAATGTTGTTATCTGTACCACATCAAATTAGTAACACACAGAGGTGACTCTTTTTCAGGAATGTCTGTGGGAAGTGGGGGTCAAAAAAGTCAAAAGGGCAGCTAAAACCATGCAATCAAAACCTTCTCCTTTTTTTTTTACATGTGTGGACAAGCAAGCCTATGTCGTTTAATAAAAATCCCTTGGGCTGCCAGATTCTTTCTGACTATTTGCTACCGCAGACCAGTGTTTTTCAAACTTTTCAAATTTAATACGTGTGAACTTCAACCCCCAGAATCCCCTGCTTTTATGACCGTAATTGAGCCTGGAATTATGGTCCTGAGTCAAGCCAGTCATTAAGAAGATCATCATGTTGCCACGGCTGATTTTGCAACTTTTTAAGGCAGTCGTTAAGCAAACACTGTGGTCGTTAAGCAAACCCATTGTACCCAATGGCTATTTTGCTTTTTTTGGCTGGAAACCAAAGTAAATACCAGTTTCAGAAAAAAACACACACAACAAATTGCAGTTGTGTGACCACGGGGCAGCTCAAATAGCCATAAATGCAGGCCATTTGCAAAGTAGCCCAAACGTGATCATGGGACTGTGGTGGTGGTGGTGGTGGAGGCATTGGAACTTTGAAATTGGGTTGTAAGTGGCTATGGGGAGGTTTGTCATAACTTCAAACGATCATTAAGTGACTAAGTGTAATTCGAGGACTGCAACAGGCTCCTTCTTTATAATGCTTGCTGATTGGAACTGGTGCCCTGTGTGCAGTGGAGGGCTGTTCTTTCACAAACAGGGGTAAACTTTTTTTCAATCAAGTCACCCATCTAGGACAAGGAGAAGCACCTCAAAACACTCTTGCAGAAGTTCAGTGTCCAGTTTTTCTTATGGCTTAAAGATCAAAGCCCAGTAAACCATAACCAGGATGAGCCATGGGTTTCCAGTAGCCCAAAGTGACCCATAGGAGCTGAACAAACCCCAGATCATGTTATCACTCACGCTGTGGATGAAATGCAATAATTTAATTTCAGGTATTAGATGTATATGGCTGCTCACTTCATAAGACTGTATGAAAATATCTCAGGAGAACTCACGGTGCTCCCTGAGCTTGGTTGTTTGCTTGCAGACGTTTGTTTACCCAACTATGTAACATCATCAGTGTGACAGTGTTGCGCTGATGATGTTACCCAGTCAGGTAATGGAATGTCTGCAAGCAGCAACCTGTTCTAGGCTTCACAAAATCACCAAGCAGACTCCTTGTCCTGACAAAATCCCTTTTTATTAAGCTAATGTGAATTCCTCTCATTCACATCCAGCAAAGTCTTTCAAGGGAGGATTTACAATCACAGACATTATCAGACTTGGAGAGCTGCCAGGCCGATATCATCCAAATACAATGCTGTACAAGAAAATACTTGGCAAGGAATCTCTGAGAGTCACAAACAGATCTTCACACTAATTAAGTGAACTAATTGTCTCCTGCAAACTCCATTCTCCTTTCGCTCCTCTTTATTCCCCATGGAAGGGGCCATTCACCATCCACCTGTGCCTTTACTCCTGAGTCAGCCCTTGTTCCTTAATTGTTCCCTTCTCCTGGCAGCTCTGCGCATGCACACATTGGGAATGGGTTCCAGCTGTTCTTCTGGCCCACTGATATCTGATTATGAAGGCTGCAGATAATTGTCAGACGGCCCTGGCCCCATCTCTGCCTCCAACGCAGAACCCACATCAGAGCCTTTCCCAGACTCCAGGACTGGCCCATGTTGCTCCCCAACCTCCTCACTGTCTGAGTCTGCCCCCAGCTCTGCTGGCTGCTGGCAGGTCACAACATTACCAACCTGAGAAAGCATCAAGAATGTCACAGATCCTTCCTGAGCTACAGATATTTTCTTCTATTGAACATCACAAGGGACCCACTGATACATCAATAAACCCATTAATTGCAAACCTGGGAACAAAGCCAGGGATTAAGAGCTTTCTGAATTTCCAGAAATATGAGTGCCCTCCATATCTCGGGGGTGGGAGGGGGAAATGCTGTTCCAGAGAGCAGGGATCTTAGCAGAGAGGGGATTTTCTTTGATTCCACAAGACGCCAGTATATAATTGAAAGGACCTGGAGTTCACTCTGACTGCTCAAATGTACTGGGCAAACAGAAACAATTGGAGAATAGTATCAGAAGAACAGGTAATTACTACTTTAAAAATAGACTAATAAAGTTGAAGGTCTAATCTGGATCAGTCACCAAGACCAGATTTGATCTTACATTATCTGGGGACACGTATATTTGCCTTCATTTGTAATAAAGTTGGCTTTAAGCTGCCTTAGCCGTGGGTTGCTATAAGACACAATAAGGGTGAGTTATCAACACTTATTATATTATCTGAAATCGAGAATTAATTCAATAGAAAATTGAACCAGAGTGAAATTTGCTGTCCTCATTGCTGGTCTCAATCCTGCCTGTATTACCCCTGCCTGTTCCAAATCACTGCATTCCTCCAAGGTTATGAGTGACAGAGCCTAACTGATTTTACAACAGATTTGTGCTCAGAAGAGGGGAAACATGATAGCAGATGAACGTAACAACATGAGCAGGGATGTGATGTAAAAAACGGGTTGCTGGATTAAGCTTGTGTCATGATTAGGTGCAAGTGGTAAATCCTGTTTAGTTTTGGAATCAGGCAAAATGGGCTAGGCGCTGCCATTACCCAGGGTAATTTATCTGATAAGAGAGAATCAAAGAAAAGATTATATCATTGGTTATTAACCTTTCTGTATAGGGCCAGTCTATTTCTGATTAGAGTGAAAAGCTGGAGAGAAAATTATAGAGGTCAGTAATTACTTTCTGATCCAGTTGCGGGGGTTGCAAACCTGATGATAAAACCTGCATTCCACTTTCAATGAATCTTGGTTTTTAATGCAGATTAGCAAGAAAAACAATAAGAGGAACTGTAATTTATACAGAATTCAGCTTTGCTTGCTAGCAAAGGAAAGGTATCTCAGGATTGCTGCCAGTTTCAAGGTACTTGGAGATCAGTGTTGTGATGGCAGAATTGTCTACGTATGCCAGAATGGGCATATCACAAGATTAACCATTGGCGTGCTGAACAGGAGGAGAGTCAAAGGAGGAGATTATTTTTAATTGTCCATGTACCTGAATGCACAGGCATTATGTCTTACAGATTCGGTAGTCCTACGATATCTAACTAGACCCCCAAACCCCCTTCTAACATCCTTTTTGTTTTCATGTCTGTCTTATACACCTGGCCTTGATCTCTGCAGCTTTCTACAATGTCTTCCCCGCCTCCTCTGGCCACCTGCCTGGTCCAGCCTTCCCTCTCAAGGAACTTGTCCTGTGACTTTATTTGATGCACAGGGACCCCTGACAACTCCCCCATTCCTTCTTCCTTCGCTCTGCCATCTCCTTGGATGGCTCAATTGCTCGCTGGCAGGCGCACAGGTTCTGCAGGTGAGTGAGTCTCCCCTTTCTTTGCCCCCAGCTCCCCAGCTAAGCAGAGGCCGGCTCAACATTCCAGATATTCCCCAGATAAAGTCCCCTCTTTGGGCCCAATTAAGCTGCTCCAAATTGCAGCAGTAGGGGCATATCTCAGAGTCCCTTGTGGGTCAAATGCAGTTCCCAAGAAGTAAGCTGGGACCCCACTTGTAAGGAACATATATGTGCCTTTAGTGATTTAATCCCAGTTCAATATTTCCCTGCCGGCGGGGTTTTTTTTTTCTCTTTAAGTTTGTCAAACCTGAGCTGTACCGTAAATCCATTTTCTTGGCTATCATAGGATTTTTCAAAAAGCTGCCAAACCGAAGCAGCTTTCTTTATAAGGAGTTATTTATTAGTGGACTTCTTTGATTGCTTGCAAAGAGTAATGCAATGGATTCTTCTGAGTGGCAGCTGATTAACAGCCGAGGTCTAAAGGTTTGCCCTTTTCAGAATACAGAGTATGTTCTTTATATATTCAACCGATGTATTCTGTGAAAGTGCATTCTTCTAATTCACTGCATATGTACAAAATGGAGGAATTGGCTGACTTGGGAGAATGCCAACGTTTACAGATTAAGTAATATTCTAGATGGGAGACTTCAAGCAAGGACTGAGCAGGCTCATGGGCCCTAGAATATTTATTGGTTATTTAAGAGAGAGAGAGAGAGAGAGAGAGAGAGGGAGGGAGGGAGGGAGGGAGGGAGGGAGGTTTCTGTGTGTGTGTATGTGACAGAGAGAGAGAGAGAGAAATGTATCAGTGTGTGTGTGTGTGTGTGAGAGAGAGAGAGAAATGTATCA